ACCATAGATATAGTTGCTAGACTTTTACAACTGAATTCTATTACCCACCTTGTTGTACATCCCAAGGCGACCTTCTTGGGGGCCTCCTTGGGAGCCACTCCCGCACCCACAAGGGGGTCAAGCTTTTCCCAGTATTGCCGCTTTGCCTTGCTTGGCATACGGTATTTCTCCGCCCGCCAGGTCGCTTTCTCCACGTCACGTTCCTCGCGCACTGTCAGACTGCGCTCGTACCACCTCTCCTCGTGGTACCCAGCATGCGGAAAGGTACCCCAAGACCGAAGCCAGGCTTTGGAACCCGACGCGGCCAACAGCTCCCAACCGAGGTCCGCCGACCGAAGGAACATAGACATAGGGGCCCCGCCACAGCCCTTGGTCAACGGCAAAGGGACGCCGTCGAGGCACCAAGCAAACGGGTGGGGCGGAGCATCGAACGAGTCCGCCTCCGCATCCGTCCATGCCGCCTGCCGGTGCGCATCCCACAAGCCGGCTTCCGCTTGGAGAGCGTGGCGCACGCTTCGCCGGAACTCGAATGCCCAGCGGGGAGTTGGGATGGCTGCTACCGCAATCGGCTCGATCGAGAGGCATAGCGGCAGCGGCGTCCTTGCCATCCGTCAGCTCCATGAAGACTCAAAAGCGAGCCGGATCCAATGGTCGGGCAGGCCAACGCCCGAGGCCTCAACCTACTTGAAGGGCACGCGGACCGCCCCCTTGATTGCGCCCCGCAGCTCCTGTTGCTCTGCGACCGAACGGTCATTGCGCCGCGGAGACCACGTTGCCCGCAAGGTCGCTGGAGCTCCCTCGTGGCTCGCGACCGGGTCCCGTGGCACAAAGTCGTGGCCCCGGTCCATGCCTTCCGTTCGAGTCGACCGTGACGTGAGGAGCAGCCGGGGGGACGGAGTTCTGCCCGTTCGCGCGCTCTCACAGCGGGTCAGGCAACTCGCTACGCGTCGCGTATACTTGCAGCACGTGGTCGGGTCTCAAAGGGCCAGTTCGGGATGCTCCGTGTGACATGGGGACCTGTCAAGTCAATGACAGATATGTAGAACTACAACGCGCGTGCGCTGTGTACGGCATGTGTCAACATTCCTGCCAGTAGTTTTCGCTTGCTCTCTGGATGTGCCACATTCCACCAGTGCGACCCGCTGGCCTTTCAACGACACAAACGTACTCCAAATCTCTCAGAGAGATTTGCCCGTCCAAAGCTATTCCCGTCCAAAGTGGCTGCAAATTGGAGCCCAATGGCCGTCATACAAAACCCCAGCTCTGCGTCCAATCGGGCAATACGACGTCAATCAACTGTGGCTCAAGAAAATGGTTCAATTCTCCAATGTTCCTCAATAGCCTACAACAATAATCAACACGTCAACCAGCGCCCTGACGGACAACAAATTTTCTTAAGTATTGTATCAAACTCCTCAAGCTTTCATGACGGCCTGCTTCTCCAATCTCAAGGCGATACCATTGGACGACCTTCAACGGCCCAGGGACCATCTACTGAGGATCAATACATCCCCATACGATGGAATTAACGTCCTAAGCTATTGTATACCTATGTCCTTAATTAGGACATATTCCTAACGCCATTCTATCCATCAGAAACGTTGTTAGTCATAGCGCATGATGCATTGCAGCTTGAACCAGTGAAGAATAGCTCCCATGCTGCGTCCAAACTCATCCTATCTCCCCCTAATTCTTACCAGAATAAAATTGTCCATATTGTTCAAACGGTATGGCAGCTATTTCACAGACTCTAGTCTACATTGTTTCCCAGACTGCTGGACAATCCTGCCACCATAAATGCTGCATTTCCTCAAAGTTTCGGCAGTATTTCCCCCATTTTTTCTTACTTTTCGTGCTCCGGTAAGACGCATAATGTTCTAGTCTATCTTCTATCCATACTAGCTGCATTCTGGGAAAATTTCTGCAGCGTTTCCTCTAGGGTTCTGACCTTTCATCACCAGGTCTGTCCCGTACATCTATAGTGCTGCTTTGGGACCGTTTTTAGATGGTCCTTGAGACTGAAAAGTGCCTCCTTTAGATATGAGCAGCATGTCTGTGTGGCCTTTGAGTGTTTTTCGCTATCTCCATTTTCACTCTTTCCTTTTTGATGCCCAGAAACGGGCCGGCCATGCTTGCTTACTAACCAATATTGCACGGATATTTCAGCGTCTTTGCGCTTTTTCGCGTAGCTGGGCGGCTGTCCATGTCAAGCTGACTGGTCTACAGTGTAGTGACACCCAGTCAGTCGCCTTTTTCGGTCATGGGCCCATCATTGGATGACGTGGCCCAATGACTAACGGCGATTTTAACAAACCGTGTCAGGGCTCTGTGGCAAGTTGAGTCGGAAAGACATCGTCAGGGCCGTCAGGAGGGTGCTGTGATTGGGCAGCCTGTGACTCAACCCCCTGAGGTGCTTATTCATTGGAAGCACATTGTGTGCATCTTCCAGCTGGGAGTCTCAGTGGGGTGTCTTATTTCCGGTGGAGCCTTTACTATTGGGCTCTGGACTGGACGCTTGTTGTAAAATACAAGCGACAAGGCGTGACTCACCAGCCCATAGGGCAGTCACAAATGGAGGCCTTTCGACAAGATCTAGACTCATCCCTTCCCTCTTGCGGCAGCCCGTGCAGACGCCACATACAGTTCAATGTCAGGCAACAGGGGACCTCGCAACTATCTGTGATAGGAGGCCGCGGTGGACACGTGCAAGTTGTCATTGCACTCCCAATCGCAGTTTGCCGGGTGGGCACAATCATTGGCAAGGGGTCCACGATGGCGGCTGGAAACACAAAAGTACGGTGGGGATGGCGACATCTGTGACGGGCGCAATGAGCACGGCGCACATGGCACCTTTGGCCATGGCGATCATTGTGGAAATGTGCAGTCGCCCTGGGGACCATGACGCCTGCGAGGATTCCGCGCATTACGCCTGGACGGGTTCCTCCCGCACACTCTTCTCCTTGGGCGGGAGCCCTCGAGGCGGTCTGAAAGTGACGAATCCGTTCCGAACAAGGGGGCGGGTGTCAAACACGAGCCCTGGGCCACGAGCTCTGCGATGTGCATCACCTCTGATAAGAGTTGAATGGAGATGGCTCACCAGGCATTAGACGAGCATAATAGGAATTCCAACTCTGTTTGGGCTTTGGCATCGCCATCACATTGCGCAAACAATCAGATGCGTAGGAGTACCAGAGACCACAGGCAACTGTGGTGGCACCACTCCGACGACTTGTCATCGTCAATGGAATGAAAGCTGTGCTGGGAGAGCTCCATATCGGCCCTGGATTGTTTAAAGGGCTTTTCCTTCTGTAGCACAACGTACATGCTGAAAGCTAAAAGAAACTGGTTTCGCTGCCAAATGCAATGGGCGGGCCCCGTGCAGATTGCACAGCCTGCCGTCACTGATGCCACTGCCACACAGTGGCGGGGTACGCAGTCAGCAGAGCGTGCTTCGCCCCGCAAGCCAAATGAGCCGCCAATAATCGCTTGTCTGTCCCACAGGAAGATGCCAGGCGGCCTGCAATCCCCCCCATCAGCCAAACACCAACACCCCCACAGGCACAGCCTGGACTTCCAAAAATCCTGTGGACGGGCACTTCACTCTCCCTACAAACGAAAACATTCAGTCATGTCCACCCTTGCCCTCTGCCAGCAGTATGAGGCTCTCCATCCATTGCCCACAGTATGGTCCCAGAAGTCTTGCACCATCACAGATCCAGAGCCTTACTGGCAAATCTTAGGGCAAAACTTCTCAGCGCTTGTTGGGGCAGGGTCAGTTTTTTGAAGTCATCCCACGGTAGACTGATGCTCCCATTTACAGTCCGCTGAGCCCTGGCAGTTGCCTCATGATGGGGGCAGGCGCCCTAGAACGCATGCACTTCGTTTCCATTCCCGCTTCGCTTGATGTTCCCTCTGTTTCTTGGTTTTGAATCTTCTCATGCTCCCCTCCCTACTGCAGCTGATCCTGACCCAACTGCAGCAGCCAAGCTGCACAAAATCACAGCGTGAAGCATGACAGCCGACATTGGGCAGCCAATGAAACGGTGCCACCATACACTGCCTTCATGCAGGCAACAAGAACTACTCACCACCATTCCTACCCCAGCCCTTGCCAGTTTGTCCCAAAGAATTTCCTTCCCTTGCCAATCTCCGTATCTGACAGAGGGGAGGAGACGCACAGCCACGAAGGTGCGCTGGAAGACCAGCTGTCCGCCGTCACAAAATAGGTCCCTCCCAAAGGGCACAATCCTCCGCACCTAAATAGAAATTCCCAATCTGATGCAAACAGAAAACACCCTTGCGTACCTCCGCCCACTCAGTTATATGTACAATGTACATACCATTGTATTAATAGTTCATGGACTGGAGGGCAGCAAGGATGGACAAAGGAATGTCCACCTGGCAAAGAATCACCACACCCCTTAAATCCCAATCGCAACAATTTTCTTCCACCTAATCTTAACGATAACCTCCGGAACAGAACAGCTGCATACTGTCTCCCTACAGATGCAGCCAACCGTTTTTCACACTTGTACTGGCGTTTCCCAACATGCTTGTGCAGCACTAAGACATAGCTGGATGTTGGACAGGCTGTTGTCCCTAATGGCTTGCATGTGGATGTCGCTGAGATGCCAAATTCCTCTGATGGCTCAAGCAGACCAGGCTGTGATCAATATTGCCCTCTTTCCAGTCTATTCCTGTCCAATGATGGAGCCACACATTGGGCACCTGGCGCTGTTCTGCATTAGAACCCCGCATTCACAATAAGATAGCGCAAATAAGAAGCTCCATTCTCCATCAGGCCGGTCGTTAGAAAACTCACCCACCATGTGGTTACGACATACCTGCAGTGGTCCTCCATCCAAGCTTCAAGCCTCCACGCCGGTTCTGCTGGTTCACCTCTTATCCCCCTTCTTACCAGGTCCGCACACACACACACACACACACATGTGCACTAATAAATAGGTTGTTCAAGCCTAGCCTCCACTGCCCTGCCCCTACTAATCAGGATACTGATCGGAAGAAGTGTCCGCCTTGTGAATATAGTAAGGCCACACATCGTTGCGCTTCAACAATGGCCTCCCATCCTCATCGATCGAGAGCTCCTCCCACACGACTTGACTGGGTTCAGATTGCTCCATGCCTAGCTGCTCAAACTCCCACATCCTTTGGGGTGGAAAGAGTGCCAGCGTGGAGCTCCTGCGACGTATGGAGGAGGAACTGACCAGGGGCCGTGGCTGTGCTGGTGTACGTGCCACAGCCTCCCCAGGTTTTAACTTGGACAATTCCTCCTGCACAGTGACCCAATGCCTAGAGGGTCAGTTTGTAGGAGCCACACAGTCACACTGCTGACATTTGGCAACCTGTTGGATGCCACCATCGAATATTCGGAATCGAAATTTGCTTGCTGTGTTGGTCAGGAGTGGAACATTACAAGAGCACTGCAGCAAGAAATTTACCTGCAAGGCTGCACCCATTCGATCATACAAGAAGAGCAAAGACCATGGCGAAGTGAGAACATTTTCAAGGTGCAATTGCTGCAGAAGGAACCGTATCTTTCGTTGCGAGCAAGGCGCTGAGACTGTGGTTTGGTTACTTTGGGACCAACTGCAAATGAGGGATTGACACACTCACAGCAAGTATCTGTGCATGGCTTGTATCTGCCAAGCATCTGTGTTTGGCTTTGGAAAGCAGACATTCATTGCACTGCAGCCAAGCACCAATGAGCACATCCAGGCACTTAGCCTGTAGTGTTGCAGCAGTTTCTGCTCAGCCAGGTTTGCAACAGGGTGCACTGAGCATGCCAATCAACTTTGTGGCACACAACCAACAGCAGCAATAACTGAAGTCCAAAAGCCAAGGCAGGAGCAGCATAATGCCATGCTTCTTGCCTCTTTCCCTTGCTATGCTCACCACAGTGGGAACATCTACAACGCGGTTGGGCCCGGGTTGCCAATCCACGATGGCCATCTGCTTTCGAATCGTCTGCACGTCTGGTGGCCGGCCAGGCTCAGTCCCTGTCCTGTATGTCCATTCCATGACGCCTTCTGCGTCTTCATCCTCCTGTTTCGTCCAGTCCTGCAACCCGCATGGCCGCCAGGTCATCTACACGGTCATCTTTGCCTTGAGCAGACAAGCAAGGTGAAGCAAGGTGCTTTCCAGAGGCTCCACCAACTGACCCTCTCGCTTGGATTGCAGGGCCCATACAACAGAGCATCCTTCTACAAAGCACTGCATGCATGTTCTATTGCACCTGCACGTGGCCAATCCTTTGTTCCTAGGTGCAAATGAATCCCAAATGACTTCCCTGCGCGTTGGAAGACCCTTGTGTGTAATCTACATATCTCAGTCTTTCCCAGTCATAACCCTACAGGCCACTTTTGCGGGCCAGTGCGCCAAATCAAAACGACGGGAATACGCCTGCCAAACGCCCCACCTGCTCTTCCAGTATCACGTATTTGTATTCCAGGCGCATACCGGCGGGCAGCTCCACCTGCGGGCGAACGGAGAGCTGGTCGTCACCCAATGCGGATAAAGGAACAACGTCATTGGCTGCGCACATGCCCGTCATCGCCTGCAACGCACAAGGGCCCCGCCGCTTCTTCCGAAGCGAAACTCACACAAAGCAACTCAGCCGCCTCCCAAGCCGTCGAAACAGAAAAATGACGGACGCGACGCACAAACTGCAACGCGAACACATCACAGGACGTGGCCGGATCGGCGCCGCAGGAAAGGACAACGAGGCGGCCCCCGGACAGCCACGCGGCCACCCACCTCCGCCGTCCAGACATCCGTGGGGTTCCACGTCATCGGCACCTTAGCTATGGACACGAACGACCACCCGAAGGGGAACTGGCTGCCGCCGATGCACAGCATCTGGTGGATGTGGCACCTGAACATCACGCTCAGCCGCACGCGCACCAGCGGGCCGGCCGGCCGCGTGGGCTCCGCCCGCCGTTGGAACTGCAGCGACTGGGGCACCGGCGGACGCCTCTCCGATTGGCCCAGCCCTCCCCGCCCATCCGGCGATGGGGGATCGGGCCATACGCCCGATCTGCCCGAGCGGGGGCCCAGGGCGACCGAAGGGCGGGATGCGGTCCTCCGATTGGATCTCAAGCCCCGCGGAGAGCGGGAGGGATGCCGGGGGGCCCTGTGGGGCACTTCAAAGGCCGTCGATGGAGCGATGCCGCGGGGGAGCGGGGCACCGGCCATCACATGGGATCGCCCGAGCTGCGGCCTCGGGACGCGGCGGCCGCTGCGCGGAGGTGTGCCCGCGGGGGCGATTGGGGGTGATTGGGGGGCTGGGCGAGGGGCGGGGCGCGGCTGTGGGGGGTCGCTCGGGTCGGGGGGTCGCTTGGCAAGGGGGTGATGCTGGCGGCCTGGTGCTGAAGAAACCCCGCCCGCAGACCTAACTTGGCTGGCCTCGGCGGAGCAGGTAGGTTCGGGACTGGGCGACGCTTATGCTAGTGTGTTACGTTCAGCCCTGCAATTCAGCCCACCCAGGGCACACGCTGAAAAAGCAATTACAATCACTTTTCCAGCTCGTCGCACATGCGACAGATATCACAAACCATGTCCACACAGCCACATATACCCGAGTCCATTATCCAATCTTCCCACAACGAAATCTGCATCGGTCGGTGCATTCACCCCAATATCAATGTTTTGCCAAATTCCCAACGATCCGGCACCCGGGAGGAGCTGGGGAAGAAACAAAACGGGGGCGGAACACAACACCCGAGAGGGAAGGAATGATGACGGTCAGGCAGGCCAGGCAGGGGCGGCAGGAGACGTCTCGCTGAAGATCTCACAGATTTCCCACCGCAAGGAATCCGCCCGAACCACCATCCAGCCAAACAAACGGAAATCGTAGGACGTAGAGCGGCGCTGCAAGTCAACATAGGCCCAAAGAGCATTAGAGTGGGGGGCCCACCAGCCCCAATCACGGACATGTGCCTCGGGCACCAGAATGGAGAACGCAGAAGAGGCCCCCGTGCGCCGGACAGCATGGTGATGATACGGCACACCAGTTTGGGTCAAGTGGACACTCGCCTCAGCAAACCAACGGTGGACATCCTGAAGCCGAGGGGGATGCCGGTCCGAAGGCAGACTGAAGAAACACTGCTCATGGCCACGACGACCCGGGAGGTGCCCCGCACGGCAAGCTGTCCGGAGCTGGACCCAGTGCTGGAACAGAAAGGGCAAGTTCGGGAAGCCCCGAAAATCAAAAGCCTGAATGCGCCACATCAAGGCGCGGGTGTCGTTCAACTTATGATGGCGTTCCCAAAAGAAAAGGTGGGTAGGGGCATCATCAGCGGCAGTCGGGGCCACTGTACCCAGCCAATAATCGTCGCAGAAAATCTCATGGCCCGAATCCGCCCACGAAAAGAACAGGGTGTCGAGGATCAAGGACACCAAAGGGCGAAGGTAGTAGGGGTGCTGCTCGGCCAAACCGATCTCTGCCAAGCGAAAGAAGTCGACAACCAGAAAGGTCAAAACAGACTCACGATAAGCCGAAGGAGGGGCAGCCACCTTCCAAGCACGTAAGAGCCGGGCCATCACCACATCATGAGCGCACCAATTGGGTACGCCGGCCCAGGCATGAGCAGTAGAGATGGCGGACAAGCATGTCCCAGCATTGCCCACAGCCACCCGACCCTCGGCCTATAAAAACAAAATGTACACATAAATCTGATCCCGCAAAGCGGGCAAGGCCCGCCACCCTCGAGCGGAACACATGCGCGAGTACTTCTGAAACTTGCGCCAAATCGATGCTCGACCCGAAACAGCATTGGACTCCACCAGGCTAAGGACCACAGCCATACGCTCCTCCAGACTGAGCTTGCCCATGGTGGAGAAATCGGTCACCAAAGCTAATTCACGGAGAATCTCCATAGTCAAAGTGTCACTCACCGGAAGGGAGATGGGGGCCGCGGGGGGCGTGAACTGAAATGTGGGAGCACCGGGACAGCCATGATCGTCCACCGAGTGCAGCCCATTGGGAGTTTGCCGGTCCGGCCAGCCATAAAAAAAATCGGGAGATGCCAAAAACTCCCGGATCTCGGCCCCCAGACGGGTCAAGGGGCGGAACCACGGGCCCCCCAGCCACACCGGCGCCAGCACCGTCACCTCGATGGAGGGCTGCGCCTAGAGAAGGGCCTTGAGACGGCCGAGCAGGCTAAACGGAGGGTTGCACCAATTGCGGTGGTGCAGCCAATCCACTTGGGCAAAGGCATTGATCCCGGCGGTGAAGGGGCACCACCAGCGTGAATTGAACTGGGGAGTACGCCGATTCTCGGTGCTGGGAAAGTGGTCCATGGTGTACGGACCCCAGGTCACATCCCGCTCCCGAAATATCTTGGGGTGCACGGTCCAATCCTCGCGATCCAGGAAGCGGCTCAGCTCGTCCGCCACCAGGTTGGCGGTGGTGGGAATCCACACTGGGTGGAGAGAGATATTGAGAGTCGAAGCCAGAAAGAACACCTTGCGTAGGGCAGCCATCAGCGGGGTGGAAGCCAACGACAGCTTGGCGAGGACGCACTGAACAACCTGACTATCGGTGTACAGGTTCACCCGCTGCCCCGAGAGTTGCCGCCAGAATGACTAAAGAGCTTGCGCCACCGCCGTCATCTTGAGCACATTTATGTGAGAATGACGATTGGCCGTGGCCCAGTACCCCCGAGCCAAGATTGGAACCGGACGGGAAGACGGGTCCTCGGGTGGGACTGTTAGAGTCGCGCCCCACCCGTACAGGGAACTGTCCATGTGAATGGTCGCCATCACCGGAGGCCGCCAAAGTACTGAGGCGGAAGTCCGGGGTCCCAAATAGGCCCAAAATGCCAAATCCGCCAGTGATTGGTGAGGGAGTTGCAGGGTCCCCTGCCAGCTCGTCTTGGTTGCCAGGTCGTCGTACAAAGACCGCAGGAAGAACTGGGCGGCCGGCACTGGGAGCGAGAGGCTCTGGCCACGGTCGCAGAACCGGGCGAGGACCCGGGCCTTGAGTGGACGGCGGCGATTGGCAAGCAGGTGGGCGGCATCCGCGCGGAGCTGGGCCACCCGATCGGGCGGGGCGATCACCAGACCCCGCGCCGTGTCGAGGAGAACGCCCAGGTGGCGGATCAGGTGAGTGGGTTGCCACTGGCACTTGTTGGGTTTCAACACGATGCCCAGGGCCTAGAGGAGAGTCTATACCATTGTGCCCCACGTTGCCATTGCCGCGTCCCCCAACAGGCCCCCCACAAAATCGTCCATATATGGTGAAAGGACGGGGGAAGGAGTGGTTGCCCAGTAAGCCGCGAGGGCAGGATGGGTCGGGCGGCGCCGAGCAGCTATGCGGAGGAGCGCGCAAAAAGGCCACGAGGGGCCGCATCAACTTGGTAAAGACGGGGGGGGAGTTCGTCCAGCCGAAGCAAAGACCGGGTGTTACGAATAGGATGTGGGTGTGGGGTTCCTGCCCTCTTTGAGCCGCGGACCCGCCTCGCCGGGCACCTAGGTCCTTACAGGGCACCTAGGCGGGACCACCCCTCCTACTCCCGTATCCTAATATGGATAAAGGTTACAGTGGGTGAGGAATAGTACGCGCCTTGGGCAGGGCGTCCCCCACACCAAGGGCCATTAGTAGGACGTCTCCCACATCAGGCTGGTGCGCGTAACATTCGTCCCCCTCAGGGAGAGGGGCGTCCTCGTCCCAGTATAGGTGGATACGGGAGCAGAAACATTGTATGTATGTTGGTGGAACTGGCTGTGCGATTTGCCACATGCCCAGTTAACAAAACACAACACACAAAACAGTTTTTGATGAAGAGAAAGAGTGGTTGTTTTACATGACCGTCCCGGCCTTCACAACCCTCATTAAAACTCTTCCTCAGCCAAGTGGCTGGAAATGTTTGACCTCTCGGCCTTTCATCGGCGACCACGATGCCGAGTACCACCAGCAGCCCACGCCGGTACAGATCGGCCCGGTGCGGCACCCCGCCGTCGCCCACGTCCGCGTGCACGCTCAGGCGCACGGGGAAATGGCACGTAGGGGTCGGCGGTCTCCAACCTCTCCCCGTTGAGGATCGCAACGGACATGGCGTTCATGTGTCCAAACTGCGACCTTGCACGGGGGGCAGTATACCCGGTGTTTTTCTGGGCCCAGCGCAAGAGAACCTGTCAAAAGCATAAGCACACATGAGCATGTTTCAGTATGTACATCCCGTACTTCATGCAGTTTGCATTCGCATCACAGGTGTTCTGCCATTTTCAAATGCTTGAACCACTTCCTGTGCATTTGCAACTGACTTTGCTGATTCCCAGCTGTTATGCTCATGTCCATATCCCAGCCATTTGACAAGGTACTCAACATAGTTTTTGCGTCTCCCACGCTTCTTAATCCTTTTGTCAAGAATACGTTCAACTTCATGCTCCA